TGCAGCCAGAATTGAACCAAGGACTATACTCAAAGGTAAAGCGTGAATGAGTTGGAAGAAGTGAGAAAATGGATGGTTCACCACTAATGCTGAGAACATTACATTTGTTCCCTAATTTGGCGTACACCTTGTACTGCTGTAGGCCAACAGCACATTTATGCCAAGAGGTGCATCTCTCATTGGTCACCCATATCTCAATATTTATCATTTAGCACTTCTTGTGTTTTATTTTGGTTTCTTTCCTTCTTTTTCACACTCTGGAGTTCTTGAAATAATGATGTTGCCCACAAGAGGAACCAAAGAAAGTTTTGCATCAAGAAATAGTTCAGGATTAGGCCTGCAAGGACATTTGAATGTGTTAGACAAAGAAGACCACTGCAGAAGCCAGTTGCCACCTCCTCGTAAGACACAGTATCATTGACTGGGCTTGGACTTGAGAGCTAGGTTTATGCATTAAATTGACATGCCATTTCATCAACAAGGAATGCACAAGGAAGTCCTCTGGGTTTGTGGTGGGATGGGGGCTCCCCTCCCGTCACAACAGGATACCTACCCTTGTGCCACACCACCACCTGTATGCCCTTTCCTTGATGGTGCTGGGCTGTGTGTACAACTGGAAGTGCCACCACCATGTACCACCTGCGTGCCCTTCGTGAGCAGCAGGGCTATTTTTGGGCAGGAACGCACAGGAACGGAGTTCCGGTTGGCTCCTGAGTTGGCCACGCCCAGCAGGAACTAATGAGCATAATAGGCCACACCCAACAGCAGAAACTCATTAGGATTGGCTACATCAGGGGTGTGTGGCCTAACATGCAAAGACGTTCCTGCTACAAAAAAAGCTCTGGGTTTTGACAACAAACAAGGTAAGCAGAATAAGAAGCAAAAGGTGTGTGTGGCTGGATGACCACACTTCTGGTAACATGGGGGTGTGGCCTAATATTAGGGTTGCCAAATTAAAAATACCTGCCGTTGGGGGATCTTCTGTCCGCTCTGGGAGATGCTCGTGGATGCGCGCGCGCCGCCAGGACGTCACCAGAAGTGACGTCACATGCTGGGCGGGGCCACGCCGTTTGAGGGGGAAACAAAGAGTTTTCCCCTCAAATGGCTGCCATTTGAGGGGAAAACTCTTTGTTTTCCCCTCAAACGGCGTGGCTCCGCCCCCAGCGTGCTACGTCACTTCCGGGTGGCGCGCATGCGGGGGTGGGGTTTCCCCCGGGCCCCGATTCCGGCGCGCCGGGAATCGGGGCTCCGAAACGGGGGATTCCCTGCCCCCCTGGCTGCATTTGGCAGCCCTACCTAATATGCTAATTAGCTGTGCTGTCAGGGATGTGGCCTAATATGCTAATGAGTTTCTGCTCTTGGGTGTGGCCTATTATGCTAATGAGTTCCTGCTGGGCTTGTTCTACAAAAAGAGCCCTGGCTGAGCAGTACATGCAACTGGGAGCATGGGTGGTAAAGCACTCATGAGTGGGTGGGGGAAGGGTGCTTGGAATGGGGGTTGACAACAGTGGGTCCCAGGACCCAGCAGCTGCCCCAACTTGGGGTGTACTGCCTCTAATCCTGGAAGTCCTCACAGTGTGCACAGTTGATGACCTGATCATTCTCTGTAGAAGAACTGACTCTTTGATTGTGGCCATGAGATTACTGTTTAACAGCTTTATTTTCTCAGATTGTTCCTTGGGAACTTAAAGTTTGTTCTGAATATGCTTAGCTAGTTAATTTAGTTCAGAGTGCTGTGCATCTTCGGGGCTATAGAATAAGGAAGGAGAAGACATGGAATTTATACCCCCAATGTTTTTTAAATGAACTAATAAGATTAATCTTGGAATCATGTTATGCATCTCTGATTCACCCTCATTTTCTCTTGCTGTAAGGAAATTGAGCAAACCCTTGTTGAGCTTGGAGATTTTGTCTCCATAAGCAAATGATTAGAATGCACTGTACCTTCTTTTCGCTTCATCGCCAACCTTACACACATGGGCGGCTTGAGGAAAACATTTCCCCATATACTAAAGTAACAACATAGAAATACAAAGTGAGAATATCCTAAACTCAGAACACTGGTCCATCTAACCCATTAATTTTTGCTCAGCCCTAAATATGAGTAAGTCTGATACAGCACAAGCCAAATGGGACTTTTTGAATGGGATAGATATGATGGCAAATGTCATAGTGTCAGTACATGAAAGAGGGGAGAACTGATTGATATGGCAGAGCTACAAGATGAACAATATTGTTGTAACATTTCTAGTCAGTTGGGACCAAATGTTTATGGTATGGATGCCATCCTCCTTTAGTAGAATGCATGTTCTCATCTTAGTCTGTGTTGTCATCTTAATTTTTGTTGATTCACAGGTTATGCAAAAAGTTTATTGGTTGGTCTGCATTGATTTTTGTCCTGCAAAGAGCTCAGAGCTCACCCATCTTCCATTAATATCACATATCTGGGAAGGGAAAGTATGGATCTCTAAACAGTCAGGAGTGGCCATGTGTCAAGGAGCCATGATTGGCCTGAATGCCCACTGCCAGTCCTGAAGTGGTTAGAAATGTATGTTTTCTCTTCACAGTTTACATTACTGCAGATACCGAGTTACTTACTTAAAATGTGAATTAGCCCTTCTATCATTATTTTTGCTCTTTCTTGTGGACTGTTACAATAGTTCTGTCTAACAGAACCGCTTCTGCTCAAATGTAATTTTATAGCTATATATTTGTATGTTTTATGTTAATAGTTATTCTATTTTTGTTGAAAATTTGGTATATTTTTGTGGGGTTTTTGGCAGATTGGTTACTGCTGTTACTATTTTTTAAAGTTTTCTTCACCTCTTCCTTCAAGAATCTGAGAAGCATTTTAAATTTTTGACTGAGAAAGACTTGTCCAAGGCCACCCAGTGACCTTCAGAGTTGAGCAGAAGTTAGAACTTGGACTACTCAGACCCAAACCCAGCACACTAGCTTTCTGTGAGGCATATGTAAGCCTTGCTTGGTGTTGCCTTTCTTGGCTACTAGCGCTATTCCCAAACTTGTGATGTGCACCATGGTCTTGCACTGTATATATTTTTTAATTTTTTACTGTATTAGTTTCTTCTACTACAGTCAGGTTTGCTCTGGCAATGTAACCACTTTAGAGTAACTTAACTAGTGCCATGAATCAATATGATGCCAATAGCTTGCATTCTGCTCAAAATAGTCATTGGAGGAGAACAAGTCCTGGTACTGCCCCATCGACTGCTGCTGAGCTTGATGGTGTGTTTCTGTTAAGGAAGCCGTGAAAAGGTTTTCATTGTCTGGAATAGGCAGAGGAGCAGAGCAAAATTCTGTACCCAATGTGGGCACGTATGTCCCACACCCAGGGCTATTTTTGGGCAGGAACCCACAGGAACGGAGTTCCAGCTGGCTCCCAAGTTGGCCACACCCAGCAGGAACTCATTAGCATAATAGGCCACACCCAACAGCAGAAATTCATTAGGATTGGCTACATTAGGGGTTTGTGGCCTAACATGCAAAGGAGTTCCTGCTACAAAAAAAGCCCTGGGTTTTGACAACAAACAAGGTAAACAGAATAACAAGCAAAAGGTGGGTGTGGCTGGATAACCACACTTCTGGTAACATGGGGGTGTGGCCTAATTGCGTATTATGCTAATGAATTCCTGCGGGGCTTTTTCTACAAAAAGAGCCCTGCCCACACCCTTAGACAAGAAAGTTTTCCCGGGGAACGTTGCTACTCCTGTCTTGTTTGTTTCCTTCCAAGGGGTCTTTTTCCTTCTCCCCCTCAGGAGGAGATCTGGCAGTGTAGGCTGCCTTTCTCATCACTTCTTTCTCATGGATGGGAGAAATCAGTGTGAAGAAATACAACCAGCTCGTGGTGAACTGTTGGATACATCTTCTTTGGGTACCAGTGCAGAAGAATGGCAGAGACTGAGCTGTTAACCAACAGTTTCTTGGTTCAAAACTTGCCTCTGCCCCCATGCTTTAACTTAGGAAGCTTCAGGAAACCCACAATCTCTCCACCATCAGTAATACAGGGACAGTATTACTAACTTCCCTTCCAGGGTTGTTTGTTAGAATTGCTGAAATGATAATGCACATGAAGCATTTGGAAGCCTTCAAAGTGCTATGAACATATTCAGTTACCTTTTTTTTGCATTTAATATCTTGCCCCACCCCCACCCCAACATGACAGGAGATTTTGACTGCAGAATGGAATGGAAGGCAGGGAAGGGCAACTGTCCCAACAGACAGAATTAGGAAGAGAGAATACAGCCATGTTGTGTTCCAGGGTAGTTGTTTCATGCCCTTATCTAAAAGCATGCAAAAAGTAGGCATTTGTGCAGTGTGTAGATGTGTTTTGGCATACCGTATTTTAGACTGCTGTATACAGTGACTGATAATGGTAATTACTCCAGGAAAATGTATTTAGTTGTATTCTACAATCCAAGCTGGGAGACTTAAATTCTGCTTGACTTCAAAGAAACTGAGCACTGTGCTGAATCTTCTGCTGGTATCAGTGGCTGTGCTGCTAAAATAATCGATTGCAGTTTGGTGACTGTGTGGATGGGATGGAACTGGGCATGACAAAACCAGA